TCATGTTCCATCCTCCCAGAGGTACAGTCAACCGACTCAGGAGCGGGATTGGCTACAAGTGCTACCAAGTGCAGCGGGGTTGCCGTAGCTTTAGCGTCAGAGGAAGACGTTCGACTCAAAGAGTCACTAATACTAAGCTCGTTATCCAAAGGATACTTACAGCCCACGACCAGGGCTCAGAGTTAATACCTTAAGTTTTATGCATCAAAACCAGAAGTGTTATATTTACTATTATTGCGGCCAAGCCACGTAGGGGTAAATGTATCTGTTTAGCTATCTAGCATAGTTAAACCTATCAAATGCATAACGTGTGGCTTTCAGCCAACGTACTGAGAGACCTTGTTAGCTCTCCAGCTAATGTACTGAGAGTTTGTTAACTCTCCGGCTACTCCGTACCCCTGTGTGTTCCACACCATGTAACCCCGTTTCATCTAGCCTTAGCCTTGTAGACGGTAGAATTAGAGTGGTTTAGCAGCAGGAACTTGTGTGAGTTGTAGACTAGCGCCAATCACACAACCCTAATCACACTGCCGCACACGTTGGTTTGCCAGCGAAGCATTTTGCAGAGCGAACGCGAGCTCTTATCCGTCCTTGGTGTATACTACATTTGCCAAGCACACAAGCCAGTCAAGATGCTCGAGGAGAGCTTAGTCCTCGCAGCGACCGCTCTGAGCCTCGTCCTCGTCGAGGACGCCGCTGTGCTTTTCGCCAGATCTCCTATTCCACGACCAGTCCTCACACTGAAGGGCAACTTCAATTTCAACGCATTAAGCGACGGAGACTGTCGTTTTAATTTCCGATTCTGGAAGCGTGACGTAATTCGGCTGCACAAGGCGCTGCGGCATGAGGAAGACTACAAGCTACGGAGCCGCCTTCGCGTTGGTGAAATCGAGGGGCTCTGTGTGTTGCTGCGCCGGCTCGCGTACCCTGGACGGTACGGGGATCTTGCTGTGATGTTCGGCAGGTCGCTTAGTGCGCTGTGCCTGATCTTTTGGACCTAATCTACGCTAAGTGCAGCAAGCTTCTTGCACGCGGCAGTCCTATCGACAGGTGTATCGGCTTCATTGATACCACGGTGCGTGGCATCGCCCGACCAGTGCGCAACCAACGGCAGTGCTATAATGGGCACAAAATGCACTCAAGTATACAGTATTCGGATGTTAAAGTGCATAGATATACATTTGTATACGACTTGTAGAAAGCTTATCAGTCGTAGCTACATCACTTGAACGAACGTGTGACGCTCGTCTCTGGCAATCCTCACAAAAAACGGGCATCACACGTTCGTAGCTTTCTGCTAAACCACTCTATTGGTGCTGTTGGCGACGAGCACGACACAATTGAAAGCAGTCCGCTCTGCGATGAGCTGCTCAATTAATTTACGTATGTTTTATGATTTACGACGCGCGGCAGACATTACTGTTTATTAAAAACACAAATTTTCTATCAAAATGTAGCCAAACATGACTGTCAGTAAAAAGCGGAGGAAGCCGGTATTAATCTACAGCAATAGATTTTTTTATAAGCACTTTGGATAGACAGTACATGCAATTTCTGGTCTATGTGCAAACACTTTTCTGAATTTCATAACTAAGGGAATTCGGTATATATGGGAAGACTTCACACTTTAATACTAGTTTTTGTAAGTAAAGGCAATCATATACCGAATGTGTATATATGTGAACGCGTTTCGCGAGCCGTCTTGCCACCGAGGTGGCTCAACTTCCGCATGCGTCGGGTCATCTCTCGTTCTCTACGTTTCTCTTTTCTCTCGGCCAGAGTCCATTAAGCGGCGCGTACGCAATAAGCGCCTCGGCTAAGTCCTCCCAGACTGCACGATCCTGTGCACATAGGCGAAGGAGGTACAGGTCCGGGGCACGTTGAAGGCGGTGTCCTGCGGAAAGTGTCTGAAGGTCGGCATCTAAGAACGTCGGTAGCGTTAGTCGCTGTCTGTTTCTCCATTTGCCGGTCTGGGGTTGAAGAAGGCTGCCATGAAGCGGTATGCTGGAATGCCTGCTGGTCTGCGGAGTATGTGGCCAAAAACGGTTCCATCGGCTACGAAGTAAGTGAAATCGGAGTGGCTGGGTCTTGGTGCGGTCGTAGAGCTTGTCATTGGAGATCGTGCCAGGATAGCGTACTCCGACCACTTTGCAAAGCTGTTGACGATGGAAACGTTCGAGGCTGTGTAGCACGGATTCGGTCAGGGCCCAAGTCCCGCAATTGTAAAGTAGAATCGGCAATACGTAGCAGTTGTAGAGGCGGAGGCGCGTAGCTTCCGAGGTCTTCGATGGCCGGAGCCAAACTTTCCACATGCGGTGGAGTGCGGCGGTGGCTAAATTCTTGCAGCGGGGGACGTCTTCAGCGTCGCCGAGGAGAGAACCTAGTTTGCGCGTATTGCGCCAGTCTTCATCCTTCGCACGTGTGATCCGGTTGGACTGCGCGGTTTGGCGGCGGTGTACGATGGTGTGTTCGGTCTTGGACGAATTCATCGGGAGGGACCATTTGGCCAGAGCGGCAGGGACTTGAGTCTCGATCAGGGTAGCTGTTTCGGCGCTCTGGCAGACGAAGTCGGCGTCATCGGCGTACACGATCATGTCAGCGAGGCGATTGTGGGGTACGTCGAGTTGGCTGGCTAAGTCTCGTAGAGCTGCTTCTAGGTAAACAACAAAAGAGCAGGGGAGAGTGAGCCACCTTGGGGAGTACCTGTATTGCTCTCGAACGGCGAGAGCAGGTGATTGCCGAGTCGGAGGGAGAGCTCTGTGTCGCGTAGTAGTAGTCGGATCAGTCGAATTTCGTCGTCATTGAGGATTGTTTTGATCACAGAAAGAAGTTTGTCGCGGTTGACTGTGTCAAAAGCACGTGAGATGTCGATCCCAAGGATATGAAATCGTTCTTTGTATCTCTGAGCGCGTGCTGCTATCCACCTGTGGGCTCACACTGCATCGGTAATGCTGCGACAGGGTCTGAACCCGCTTTGGTGCGGGGACAGGAATCGTTCAACCTTGGGGGAGATGCGACGAAGCACCACCAGAGAGATCGCCTTGCGGATGCTGTTGAGTAGGACGATAGGTCGAAGGCTAGCGCATTGGCCAGCCGGCTTCTTTGGCTTGGGAAGTCCGAGAAGAATTCCGTCGCCCCGGATGTTGTCTTCTCTAGTGAGTCCGTGATTGATGATGTTGGCGAGAGGCAGAGCTAATAGCTAATAGCTCTGATCCATACTTGGGTAGCTCAGGCAGGGATGGAGTCCGGGCCCGTTGCGCGTCCATTGCGTAAGCGGCGGAGCGCGCTTTCGAGCTCGTATGCGGTGATCAAATTGTTCAGAGGACGTTTAAGTCCGTCGGCGGCGACAAACGTGCGCATCGGGTCTAAGAACTAGTCTTTGAAGTGTTGCTTGATTTAGGCACCTGTTGCTTGGCGGCTGAGAATATATTTACCTGTAGAGTCACATAACGAGGTTAATGGTAAGCGCTGTCGGAAGAGAGCTCGCGTGGCTTCGAACATTTGAGTCGAGCGATTCGACTGTTCAATGATGGCGGGTTTCTCGTTGATGATTGCTCCAGCGAGAGCTTTGCTGCGGTCTTGGATCCGATGTAGGGGTCGATTGCGTTTGGCACGCAGGGCCTTGATGCCTTGCTTGTGATCGTTGTAGATGAGCTGCCGAAACTGACGCTGTTCGTACACATTGAAGTCACCCTCGATTCTAGTCCAGCGTAATGAGGCTCGTACCTGCTCAAGGACCCCCTTTAAAAATGCCCAACGGCACATCCGCGACGACTCCACCGATCACTAATAAGCACTTGAGGTAGACTTTGAAATGCCGTTGAGTATTCTAGGAGGGTATCATACCGACTAGATTTATCTATTGTATCAGCAATGAGATTAAGGGACGGTTGTCTTCGAGGCGGGAGTGAGACCACCAGAGCAACGGTAGCATCAGCTAGCACTAGGAAGACATTTGGTTTTGTATTACTTGGTCGACGTAGAATGTGGTTGAAGTCTGCGCTCGCACGGCATGTCATTGCAGCACTCTTCAAAGTTTCGTTCATTCCACATCACTTCTTTCAGCTTGGCGTCCTGCCCGATTCATCATCTGCTGAAGCAAATTGTCAAAACTGCTCAGGATCACTGATAGCACGACATTGACGTGACGTATCAGACCCACAGACGCAACAACGTACAAGTACGTCCTACGCAACGGTGTTCGCAGCCGATTAAAGTGGGATGGCCGGTATATCCGTTCAACATCTGATGGTCCATTTTGGTGAAGCTCAGCAATGGAGGTTCTTGGAAGCGGGTGGGTGAAGGTGCACCTGAATAACGCAAATGGTTTTGGTACGCCGATGTGACAAGAAGATTGATCTTTTTGCGGTCAATCGTATTGGTGTATCTCGGTTCACCTAGCTCTGTCTCTAGTCTTGGCTGCTGTGGCATGATGTTGGTGCAACGGAGGTCAAAGGTGGCGATACAATTCGCCACCCAGAATTGTGTTCGACGATACCGAGCAGAGCTCGAGGTAGTCACAATGTGACTCACAGAAGCTCGCTGCTCGACGTTGCGATCTCGACCATGCATATCGTATATCCAGATATCCGATCGAGTTCAGTACGGCGGACCTGATAGTAATTCAGAACTCGGACCTGAAAACGTGTTCGTCTGAGCTCTCTCAACGGCTCGGAAAAGGCAAGGATACAACGGCAGTCTTTCCACAACGCCCTACAAAAAACAATGGGCGTCTCGACGCGAGAGTGTCTATATTTGCCGTCATTGTGATGCCAAAAGCGGTCGGCTCGACTGTTGTGTTTGCGTTCTGATCGGGTCCTCACTTCTTCAGCGCACGTTCAGTCTGGCAATAAGGCGAGAACAACCACGCGTTCTTTAGGTTCACCCGTAAGGCGTAGAGAGCACAGGTGGTGGAGAGAGCAGAAGGTTACGGAGCTGCTGCAAGCGCACGCGCACATTTCAATTCGACTCCAAGCACCAACTTTTCCCGCCGTCCACTAACGTCGAGCAATGGCAGATGGTGCCCCCTTCAAGTTGAGCGCCAGTGAAAAGGCTTCGACGCGTCTCAAGTGCGATGACGAAGAGCTTTTGATGGCGCAGACCGAGGCTGAAGCAGCTCCAGGCGTCGACTTTGACTCACTGTCGAGTATCTCGTTGGATGAATGGGAGACTGGTATTGGACGACACAAACACAGCAAGGACGAGAACCTTCGAGCGCTCTCACGACAGCGTAACCCCGACACGACAGAAGTTCTTGTCATGGGGGAGCTACAATGTAGTGTGGTCGAAGCTGCAGCGCTGCTCTGTTGTTTTGAAGAAGCAGATTTTAATGCGAATATGAAGAGAATCCACGGACATTCGTTTGAGTGCGGCTCTGTCGTTCGCAGCTTTTCTTCGAGCAAAAGCGACAATCAGGATGAAGAGCTGACACCGTATCGATTGCTGAAAACCTCGAGCTTCAAGCACTCACGCCTAGCCGTACTGGACTACGACGAGCGGTGGTGCTTCCTCGAGGACTTTGAGCCTGTGACGCAGGAGCGCTTTACACTCTCGCAACGATCGGTTCGACCTGATGCGCTGCCTCCAGAGGTGCGTCCACCAGCTGAACTCGCTCGCCGTAATGGCTTAGGATTCTCGCGTTCCAGCAAGCAAACGCATCAACTACAGAGTCTGTCATTGGGATACTCAGTCGAAGCGATCAATGACCGTCAACCTGCCGCAGTTCGCTTCTTGTTTTACGGTTGCAGCTCGGATGAACGCCAGAGCTCAGACGTCGCACAAAGGCGATTAAAACGGCTAGCGCGCAACATTCTCACGGTACCAGAGCTAATGCGTCGACGACAAATAAGTGCAAAAGGTTCCGAATCGGAGGAAATTGACAGACTATCGTTAAAGAACTCGCCTTCTGCATCGCAGTGTGTAGGGTGCGCTCGCAAATTCCACAAACTGCTACCTATCAAGAAGACGCGCTGTTATCTATGTGCTCAGTTCGTGTGCTGGCGTTGCTGGGCGCGTCAGCCTCTCGATACCATAAACGGCAGGAAGATCTCGGTTCTCGTGTGCCCTCACTGCTTGGACACGATCCGGAACTGTAATCACGCACGTCTAGTATTCTCTAGTCGTGGAAGCGGCAGCAGCGCCAGTACATCAAGTCACGGGTCTGGAGGCGAAATCTATCGTAGCACACGCATCCAACCTGACGTTGACGATGCACTCGAACCAGGCCAAGCCGTCGTGTCATACCTCGCTGATATTCTAAGCGACGATAGCGAAGCGTCCCAATCGGACGCAAGTATGGACTCGAATAAGGCCAGGAAGACCCACACGGCTGCAAAAGTACTTCAGGAACTGACATCTGTGCTCGACGAAGGAATCAACCGTGTGATGGCGCATTGCTTCTGGGATTCCGACAACAGCGGGGCTCTCATATCCGACCTGACGCCCAGTATGCCGGCAGCACTACTCAAATTACAGTCCCAGCTCTCAAGAGAACTGCTACCCGTAGAGGCGTGCAGTCTCTCTCAAGCCGTGACTCCGATCTACCCTCTCGGTTCGTCACCACGGACGCCCAGGGGTCCAATACCTCCAAACGAGGCACATCGACTGGAAGCTATCACACAAGATCAACTTCTTACGGCTAGGGGTTCCGACGAACTAGGTCTCATCTGCGAGTTAGCTACACAGGAACTGTCGTGTCTGGCCTCGTTGGTGACCATCGTAGGTAAATCGCTGCTGCATGTCCTCGCGAGCAGCTCCCCAGCCTTCCAAAACGCCGAAGTGCCTCGAGAACAGACGCTTTGCCAGTATCTACTGATGGGGGACCGACCCATGCTTCTTCAACATCCCGAGAACGACGTCCGCTTCTGCAAGATACCGCTACTTATCGACAACAACATCCAGTTCTACGCGGGCTTCCCCATTTTCAGTCGCGACGGGTTATCGGTGGTGGGCTCGCTGTGCTGTCTTGACGTCCGTCCGCAGGAGATGACTCAGTCGCAGTACTCAACACTTCTGCACCTCACGCGGACCGCATCCAGTATCATCAACAAGAAATGCACCAAACCACCAGGTAGGTAGACCCGTTGTAATTTATGAAATTTCTTTAAAACCGCATTTTGACAAATTTATAACTTGTCGGGGCAAACTCATTTTGAGAAATATTTAAAGAAATCTTAGTACCGATATTCCATCCCCGAATAAGCGTAGGGCTTAGACGAGGCACCTTTTACATGCTTTCAGAGGTAATATGGCAGATTCGCCTTTTCAAATATCATTTGGAGCAGATATTGCGGGTACACAAAATCTGGAGCTTCTGTATGAGACAAAAGTTTTTTTTGTAAAATACCGATACAAAGTCAGTCACTTGAAAGTTGAGAGGACGATTCTGTCATCACATTCTGAAAGTCTTTCTGTTTCCTGAAAGGAGCTCTTGTAGTGCGAGAGTCGTACATGTGCTGGTCCAGCACTGCTGGTATTGGTAGAACTTGTTTGGTTGGTGCTGAACCTGTTCGACCTGCTTAGGACTTAGCACATTCCGCTGTCGGAATTACAGGCGTCGAATACGAACGAAGCGTTAGGAATTACAGCTGTCTGGAGTGACTCAGCCTGTCTGAACTCGCCAAGCTGACTCAGCCAGGCGAGTTTCGACGCTGCAGCATGGAATTCGAACGAGTTCTGTAGCGTGCCTCTTGAGAACATGACAGTATTCTTGAATGCTGCGTGTCGATGTGTCAAGATACTTGCTGTATGTACCACTTAGAGGTGGAAAAGAAAAGCGTAAACACCAAATCAGCAGAAGCGATATTTAAACATTTAATTGAACGATGTACTGGTTTTGGGCGACAAAGTCAGCAAATATACTTTCCAACCGTGATAACCCCTTTTAATAGAATTTTTCACGGCTGGAAGGTATGTCTGACTGATCAAATCTTGGCGTCCCGTTTTTTTTTTTTTCAACTCAAACCTTCATTAAAAAAAGTGGAGGTTGCAAGCCACCAGCGAAGATTAGCTATGATTGGTGGAAACCCATACCAGAAGGTTTGATTTGAATACAGTACCGGTATTATACATGTTTTATTAATAAGACATGTTTATATATGTTCCAGCTTCGCTTTTTTGCACAGTTTTGGCCCTCACAGTTGACGGATTAGGATCGACTTAATTGGTTGACCAAACATTCTTTTTCCAACCCTAATATTAGATAACTTTTTTACGATACAGCGATACAGGCTGAAACATGATTCGATCTTTTCTTCACGGTCGATTGTACATTCTACAATTTGTAGGGTATTGATCTCTGTTTGAGTATGATCATTGAGGACCCAAGGACCCAAAGTGACTGAGCGTCCAGACGAAGGTCCACTCTTTGTCTATGTGGGTCACTTAGTGTCACCAAAGAGAGTGCTAAGCGATGTGCTGTGGCGCTCTCGCGAAAAGTGTCCCAAAATGTCGTCACCGGTTGTTGTATGGCGCGCGCACTTGAAGTGCCTCGCCATGATGTCGAGGAAACTTTGCTGGGACTGCAGCCCGTAGTGACAATTTTCCAACGGGCCAATGAGCGGCAAAATTAAAATAAAAAACGTTTCAGGTGAGTTGGGCTCATTCGACGATTTGTTTCTAAAACGTCCAGCAAAACGCCCTTTTTCTCCTCTCAAATGTAGTACCCACTCGTACTAGCTTTCGCCATTTGGGAAGTCCAAACTTCCCGTCGACTGTTGTGTTCGCGTTCGGCTCTCGTCGTTCCGCTTCTTTTAGCGCAGCGAAATAACAAGCAGAATCCCCATGCAGGACCAAGGGGAGAGAGCCTACGTAAACAGTCTGGAGGCGATGAGTCAGCATTTGGTGCAGAGTCTTACAGAATCACGCACAGTCTTACACAGTCCGGTGTCCTTTCTGGTGGATAGCCTCACCATGTGTTGGATATGTGAACGCCAGAATTCACTCCAGAGACGAAGCTCTTTGCCAGCCGGCACTCACGTTTCTCTTCATAGACGACGAGGACAGTGCAATAGAGCGTACGGCACGACCAGAAAGGCGCGAGCCCGTGCCTAAAAAACTTCGATCTCGTCAAATTGGCAAAGACTTAGGCAAATACAACACAGATCTCCAACGCGGTGATTTTCACGAAGTACGTACACGGCCAACTTCAAATCACAGTAGTCAGACTTAGCAGCAATTACACAAATGTGGAACCTGAGCTTACATTGAGCTTAATATATGGCTAATGAAACGGTATCGGAAGTACTGCATCGCTATGGTAGATTCTGACGCCGATTCGGACCCCACTACAGCGACGTCTAGCAGAAGCATCGCGAAAAACATGATCACTAAGACGCCACAGTTGTAGGAATCGACCTGCGTCATCCATTCGAGTTGCTTTGTGACGGGGTCACACAGCACCTTGCACAGAGGAAGTGCTTAAGGGTATTAACTACCCGAGTAAACGTAAGTCCACGTGTTCCCGGCCTCAGTGGGAACGGTTTGCTACTTAGAGGAGTAGATTTAAGACTGATGTATTTATAAGTAAGATAAGCTTGGGTCTCATACAAACTAGAGGTTACCTATAGTGGAGCTAAGTAGTCATGCACTGACTGGATCCGAGAGCACCTGGTACCGTGTACCAGGTGTCCACAAGAGTGACGGGTCACTCTTTATGTAACATGGGGCACACTGGATTGTACCCCGTTACATCCTCCCGCACTTAACTGAGAATCACCTGATTCTCCAATCACAACTGATTCTCCAATCAGAAGTGAGAGAATTAAAACACCAAAAGGTGAATTCTCACACTGAGCAGCCACGAGACTGGCGCGGCTCTCAGTCACACCCACAGTGACTTGTGCTGCCAAAGCTCACTGGGATTTGCATCCCTATGCTCACAACTGTGTTGGCCGCAAAGCCTACACTCAGAGCTGCATTAGCTCCTGCGCTAGCGCGCGCACAGTGCTTTGGCACAGGGTGCAAAAGCATCCGAACGTGTGACATTCGCCCACAGTTCGCACCAGAGGACACGACAGTCCTCGCTAACGCGTCCGGAGCATGGTGTCTCCCGCGAGGGACGACACCGAGAACGGCAACACCTTCCCCAGCACTAGAGGGAGCTCTCAGCTCACCTCGGGCCATGCCTTTGGCTCCAGCAAGGATTCATCCTTGCGGGCGGAGATTTTGCCACGCTCTCTTCGCGTCTTGGTCACCATACCAACGGCGCGAAGGTGTCCTTCATCGACACCGTGTACCGTGACGGTACACAACCGTGGTGTAGGTGTCTCCCATCGACACCATGTACCGTACGGTACTAACCTTTGGTGCGGTACGCCCACCACAAGGTTGCCATGTTTGGCGGCAACAGCTTCTGCTGTGCTGTCGCCTGAACAGATTCATGGCCAGTGCTCGCATCATGCACGACGCATGTGCAAGCACAGTGTATAGGTCCATGGGACCGTACACGAGGCACGCTGTGTACGATACGTACCACAGCTACCATAAGTGCTCCGTGCACTTCATGTGTGTCATGCACGACGTGTTCATTACGTGGAACTCCTGGCAGGTTGCTCGACAGCAGCCAGTGCCGATGCACGGTACGTGCGTTGACTCACAGCGTCCAGAGCGTATCGGGTCGTGGTATGGTGCATATTCTTTGCACCTATACCAGTGTCTGTCACAGACACCATGTACCTTGATTATACTCGACCGTGGTGGGGCATATCTCACCACCATGCCACTGCGGCGTTGGTGTCTGGCATTGACACCGAGTACTCACGGGTACCAACCCATGGTGAGGCAAGCTGCCGTCGCCACGGTGTCATGCTCGGCGCGGCACCAGTTACGACTGCGTGCCTTGCCTCGACCACCACCTGGTCAGTTGTGTGTGCACTCGTGCACCACACTTGGGTTATGGCTCCACGGCCCATTATACCCGGCGCGTTGCGTACATCACGTACCGCAACCGCTTTGTCGGCGGGTGAGACGTTCCGTTCACCCTACTCGACAGGTCGTTCATGACCAAGGGACTTACACTAGGCCCGCGCTTCGCCTCGTGTGTGGTTGCTTGCAACCCAACACTGCTGATTCGCTCAGCGATTCCGAGGCACCTTGCGCCCGTGGCTTTCTTCGCCACTATGTCTTGTTCGGCTAGAGCTACCGCAGCTCTAGCCCGGCTGTTCGCCTCCAGCCTGCAGTCGATGTACATCGACACCTGGTTCCGTAAGGAACTTGGTCTTACCTCAAGACCAGGGAGGAAAGGTATTTCCGAGCCTCTCCCCCACTTACACTCGAGACTATTGAGTCTCTCGTGGCTTGTGATAGCCACTGGCAGCACGACGGCTACCTGCCTCTTGGAAAGTCAGGGAGGAAAGGTATTTCCGAGCCTCTCCCCCACTTAACCTCGAGACTACTGAGTCTCTCGTGGCTTCTAATAGCCACTGGCAGGCGCAACGGCTCTCCGCCATGTGCACTGCGTCGGTATGGCCGACCGCGTCGGCCGTGTCGACTGAAGGCATTCAGCCTTCGCGTCAGCAGTTTGAGTCTGCGCGACTTGACGTCGAGCGAGTTGCTCACGTCCGGCGAGGCCAAGACAACCTCGCGCCTCGAGCCAATGGCTCTGTGTGCGACGCTATGTTACTCGCCTTGGGTGTGGAACTCTGTTACCCACGTTGGTTGTGTGGAACTCTGTTACCCACACCGGAAGCGCATACAGCGACTTCCTTATCAGTTATAGTCTGAGTGACCTTGCGTGGAACTTTGTTACCCACGCTCGGAGCACCGAATGTCGGTCTCCTTAAGCAGCTTCGCTGCTTGCAGGAACTTGTTACCCGCAGTGTGGACCTATGTTACCCACCTGGTAAATGCCCTTAGGCACCACCACTGTCGAAGCGCATACGGCGCGACGACCTTCGGTGTTGGGATCGGCTGGTGTGGCAGACCCGCCCACACACCGGACAGAGTTGGTGTCCACCGACCGAGTCAGAGGAGTCCGGGCCCTGGACTCCGAGTCGCTTGAAGCGACGTCGGCCTGAACAAGGTTCAGACCCGACTTGCGGCGGCTGACGTGACGTGGCACTTCGTTACCCACGTCGTGATGTCTCGTTGACGACATCAGAGGCACTCGAGACCTCGTGTGGCACTGTGTTACCCACACAGGAAGCATGGACAATGCCTTCCTCTTCAGTTATAGTCTGGGCGACTGCGTGTGGTACTGTGCTACCCACACAGGAAGCATGGTCATGCCTTCCTCTTCAGTTATAGTCTGGGCGACTGCGTGTGGTACTGTGTTATCCACACAGGAAGCGCATTCAGCGCCTTCCTCTTCAGTTAAGGTCTGGGCGACCGTGTGGTCCTAAGTTACCCACCCTGGTTAGCGCTTCAAGCCATAACCACTGTCGAAGCCCGTACGGCGCGACGACCTTCGGCGTTGGACGCTGCTGGTGTAGCAGGTCCACACGCCGGGCAAAAGACCCATGCCCGTGGCATTGCCGCAGCGTAGCATGGTCTTGCTGTACGCAGAGCTGTCGGCGCGTTGACAGCTCCGTGACGCTTCTGCGTCCTGGCGGTCTGTATCAGACGCCCCAGTCATGACGGA